ATCGTTAATCTTGTAACTAATTAGTGTTTTTCATCGATCGCTAATGATCTGTTAACTGTTAGTTTTGTGGCAAGGCAGCAAATACTGATGGTTTTTTCGATATAAAGTACGCGAACTGTTTTAGGTTAGAAAATGGTCTTTTCGTTAGAAGACGATAAATTTATTGTAGAGGTAGAGGGTAGCCATATCTCGTCGATTAGTCGAGGCTTATGGCCTCCAAGATCTCCGGACTTAACTCCCATAGATTATTATCTTTTTGGAACATTAAAAAATTCCATATATGTAAACCGTTTACACAGTGGATGAACTAAAGCATATGTAACAAATAAATTAGCTAATATTACAGAAAATGAATTACATAATGTATTTGACAGTTTAAGAAGACGAGTAAATCTATGTATTCAGAACGAAAGCAGACATTTTACACATTCATTATAAATAAATTGTGATTAAAAATATTAAATACTTTTATTCTTCATTTCAATGTTTAAATAGTTAGAAATCATAACAAATTAATTACAAAAATTATTATTACTGGTAGGGACAGAATTTTGGTAAAAATTAAAAGTATATATTCACTTTTTAAAATTTAAACCGATAAAGCAATTATTATTTAAAATGTTCTTATAGGTAACAACATTTTTTTATGTTAGAATTTAAGAAATTTGAAATCGATTTTTTATTTGCATTTCTAAATCAGGAAAGGAAACGTAAATTCATTTAAAAATTGTTGCATTTACTTTGAATATCGCATAAAAAGGACAAGATAGATAAATAATTGTTAAAAATCGATTCTATGTTAATTTTGAGGTTAATATCATCATAAATCATTTTTATTTAATACATTCCTTTAACAAATTAATTAACCCCTCAAAGTAATTAATGCTTCATTCTGCTTTTTGTGTTGTATTTTTATGATTAAAATTAATGTGACCCTATTTCCACTGCAGTTAACCCGCCACTGAACGAAGTAAATCACTGTCAGTGTTGCCAAGTAAAAAGAATGAAAATAATAGGTGAGCGGCACACAAAATATTTGTAAGTAGCTGTGCCATCAATCATTCTCGATCTCTCGGTATAAAAATTATTTTCCAGGATTTTGTCAATATTTGGTACATATCCTTTAAAATTTATAATGATATCAATTATTACTAAAGAGATATATTTGAGAATCTCTTTAATGTTATATAAACGCAGACTCATTATACAATAATATTTGTTGAGAGAAATGAATAAGAAGAAGAAGAAGAAGAAGAATTTATAATAA